TAGTGGTTTTGTGTAGAAAGGGGACCAATGGTATGGAATAAAGAGGCCTTACAACTTTGAACCAATTACCTCATCTCTATGACCTTTTGACCTTATGGTTTTCAAAGCAAAATTAGAAACCAAAATCAGCTACACTAAGTGTGAGATCTCTTGAGATGGATATGAGCATCATGGGATGAATTAATAATTGTGTGGAGAAAAGTTCACTTTTTAGATATAACACCTAAAGTTAGGTCTGGGACCTGATTTTATTCCCTCACCTTGAATGGCCTCTGAGTTTGGTGACCTGCTAAAGCCATGTTTCACTGCAGACCCCCTGACCCTCAAACTACAGTTCTGAGAGACGATGGCAGAATTCACCTTTCTGATCTCTGCCCTACTATAGCTAGAGTTTTCTTGCCTGGCCCACAGTCAGGACACATCTCTGTCACCCACCAGTCCCATAGCCACTCAGACCCAACCAAGTAAACACAGAGACTTATATTGCTTATAAACTGTATGGCCATGGCAGGATTCTTGCTAACTGTTCTTATATCTTAAATTAATCCATTTCTATAAATCTATACCTTGCCACGTGGCTTGTGGCTTACTGGTGTCTTCACATGCTGCTTGTCATGGTGGAGTCTGGCAGTGTCTCTCTGCCTCAGCCTTACACTTCCCAGAATTCTCCTCTCTCCTTGTCCCGCCTATACTTCCTGCCTGGCCACTGGCCAATCAGTGTTTTATTTATACAGAATGATATCCACAGCACCCTACAAGAAGCATATGTTAGGTGTGGAGAGAGTATTGAGGAAGGACAGGATCAGGTGTGCACTGTTTTATAGCTCCAAGCTACTGTGGGGTTAGAGTTCAAGTCCTTCCACCGCAACCTGTGCTCCCTCCTGTACTCACCCCAAGTGAGCACAGCACCAAGCATAGGGGTAGATGGGAATGTGTGGTAATATTTTATTTGTGCACACCAATAAAGCTTATCTGAGAATCAGAGGAAACAGCCAGCCACTATATTAAACATAGAGGTCAGGCAGTGATAGCACACACCCATAATCCTAGCATTCAGGAGGCAAAGATTCACCCAGATCTCTGTAAGTTCAAGGCCACACTGGGAACAGAGCCAGGCATGGTGGCACACACCTTTAATTCTCAGCACTAGTTAACCATAGAGGTCAGGAGGTCTGTACAGACAGGTAGGAAGTGATAGAGCTGGGGTGGAGGGAGAAGAAAGTGATGTAGCTGGGCAGAGAAAGGAAGTAAGAGGGCAGGGACAGAAGGGCATATAGGCGTGGATATACAGGAAGTAACTCTCTTTCTTGGGCTGAGGATTTCCTAGGGTAAGAACTTGTGGATGTGGCTTGTTCTGTTCCTCTGATTTGTTGGCTTTCACCCCAATATCTGGTCTTGGATTTTTATAAATAAGACCATTTAGCAATTCATCTCTCAGGAATGCCTTATGTAATTTGTTTATTTTGAGAAAGGGTCTCCATATGTTGGACTAATTGTCCTAAAATTCACTTCACGGCCCAGCATGGCCTGGAACACAATACAGTTCTCTTGTCTGGGGGCCTAAGATTACAGGGGTGTGCAACTACTCTCTGACCTGGAAAACTGATACCCAGTCCTTCTCTCATTTTCTGTTTTAAACCAATAAAACATCAGTAAAGATTCTCGCAATGCTCTCTCTTGAACACGAGGCAGCAGGAGAGATAAGAGAATACTCTAGCCTGGACTCTACAGCTATGCAGAGAAAGAGCCCTTCTTTTATGTACAGATGAGCTGTGCCTGATACTTGCACAGGAGCCTGAAGGCATTACTGAACTCCTGTTGTAAACACACCTCTGTGAGGTATGCACTTCTGCTGATGGACAAGACAGGTTTTAGACACTATGTAACCCTCTTATCTTTGGAAAGCTTTATCATCAAATGATTTCTATACAAACAAATTTAATTTTCACCAGCATAACTGGGTAAATTTGCATAAGAGTTTGAGATAAGCAACAAACCACACTTCAAGAATGAGAATAATTCTTTCATTGGAAAAATTTAGCTAGTGATTCTTTATGTTAATTATTGCCTCATCTCTGCTCCCTGCAACCCCTTGACTGCTCTGTGAGGAGCAGATTGAAAACTCCATAGAATTTAAAATCATCTGGGCCCTGGCTATCCTATCCTGGAAAATGAATCATTTGTGACTGCTACTAGGTAGAAATTATTCAAGCATGTTGTCTTTCTGTTAACAGTGCCATTCCATTCCACATATGCAGGCAACACATTTTACCCACTCTCCAGTTGATGTACACCTGAATAACGAAATTTTGACTACTTTTAATCAAGATCTTAGGAACATCTCAAATATAGGGGTTTTTTGTTGGTTTTTTGTTTTTTGTTTTTTGGTTTTTTGTTTTATAATACAATTCAGTTCTACATATCAGACATGGATTCCCTTGTTCTCCTCCCTCCTGCCCCTCTCCCCTCCCCCCCAGCCCACCTCCCCCATTCCCACCTCTTCCAGAGAAAAGCCTCCCCCAAGGACTGAGATCAACCTGATAGACTCAGTCCAGGTAGGTCCAGTCCCCTCCTCCCAGGCCGAGCCAAGCGACCCTGCATAAGCCCCGGGTTTCAAACAGCCAACTCATGCAATGAGCACAGGACCCGGTTCAAACATAGGTTTTTGAAAGCAATATTTTCCCCCATTGGGCTAAAGATCCAAGAGAAAAATTGCTGAATCATATAGCACCTGTGTGCTTAACTTTTAATGAAAGTGCCAAACTGTCTTCTATGACTGTATCACTTTGCATCTCCTCCAGACATGTATGAGGGCCAGTGACTTCATATCTTTGTAACCATTTGACCTTGTGACTCCTAAGGCTGATATTATTGAATGGTGTGGAGGAGTGTCTCATTGCAGGTGTTTTAATAGAATTTGAGCCTCTGCCTCCCCCTCCCACTTGCACCTGTACTCACTCTCAGCTTCCTTCCATAGAAATGTGCCTAAGCATCTTCATTCCACATATCTGCTATGGCCTTGGCAATTACCAGCAGAGGGTCTCTGAATAACAAAGTGAATGACGAAGCACATGGGTTCCACCCCTCCCCCCAGCTGTCTTAATCACTGTTCTATTGCTGTGAAGAGACTCCATAACCAATACAACTTGTAATATAAAACATTTATTTGGGGCTTCCTTATAGTTTCAAAGAATGAGTACATGACAACCTTCCTAGTGGGTGCATGGCAACAGGCAGGCATGATGCTGTGGGCTCTAGCTGTAGCTGAAAGATTACACCCTGATCCACCAGCAAGAGCCAGAGTTAGACTGGGCCTGGCATGGGTTTTTGGAACTTCAAACCCACCCCCAGTGATGCACCTTCTCCAACAAGACCGCACCTCCCTCCTAATCCCTCCTAAACAGTCCCCCAACTGGGAACCAAACATTCAAATATATGAGTCTTTAGGGGCCATTCACATTCTAACCAGCACACCAGCTGAGCTGAGAAAAAGTCTTTTTTTTTTTTTTTTTTTTT